CCGACGTCTGATTTCTTTTTAAAAAATGCGTTTCTAAAGTGCATAAACTTTTGGGACTGACTGTATAGCCAATACATCCTTAAATTCACCATTTGTTCTACTACATATATTTCAGCATCGGCTCACTAATTGGTATTAAAACTCTAAAAGCTAGTTCATTTTACTGAGAAATACGATCAAGATCTTATATCGAGTTCATCAGCCAACGTGGAAAGCATAGTTGAGAACTAATACGTACACTCGATAGCGCTTCCTACTCTAATAGTTGAATAGAATGCGTAATGGAAGAGGTAAAATGGAAATGCGAGGTGTATCACTTACCGTCATCGCCGATACCGTTTCGTTGTCTCTGCGTTGTCATTTGAGGCTCGTCCACTAACGGCGTAGAGGTGTTCGAGTGCGGTTCCACGAGAGGACTCAACGGTGCTCCGCTCGTGCTCACCGACGACTCAGTTTTTACTGACACCGAAGGCTGCGATTGACAGACCGCCGACATCATACCATTCGTCGTGGCATTCCCATTACTGCTACTACTGGTCGCATATCGAGGATACGGTTGAAATCTATGATGCAACGGAAAAGAATACACCTGAAACATTGATTCTCTGACATGGAAAAAGAGAAGGAAATGTACAGCGTACCTTCTACCCGTAGAAAGCATCGGTTCCGTTTTTGTATTGTGATTTAATATACGAGCGTGTAAAGACGCGGCCAATCCTTCTACAGGTAAGAGTTCACCGTTCGACGCTGTCTGTGATGAATGTAATGGTGTGGGATGAGTCTGCAACGACTGAGGATTGTCAGAGAAATATGACTCGTGATACGGTTTGATATCGGCCCGAGGTAACTGAACCGGTGTATATCTAAACAAAAGAGAATAAATGATGTCTTGAATCTTTAGGAGAGCTGTAGATAAACGTACCTTTGTGGTTGCGTTCCTGGGGTGTACAACACGGACGATCTCGAGGTAGTCGTTGGAGTACCCGTTGAGACCGCGTGAGACGTTGGAGCGTAACTTGCCACGTGCGCGAGCGTTGATAAACCTGCATCACCATCTGCACTGGCTGGTCTGCTGATAGGGGAATACACGGTCTCCGGTTTTATCATCGCACTCATGTCTACAGCAGCATTTATTATAGACTGATTGGAGATCTCTAGCGTCCTTTCTATTTCTCCGCTGACCAAGTCGCCGATGGTCCTGGTACCGAGCAGTCCGTTTCCTCCTGACACAATGCGATTATCGTGATTAGGTTGCCTCGTTTCGATCGGTGGCCTGTCGGACGGCGTTAGATGAGAGGTAAGCCGTTCTTGTGAGAGATGACGCCGAAGTGCTAGCTTCGCCGGTGAAACCTGTCAAAAAATAGATTACAATTATATATCCTGTTGTCACACGTATTGGAATGGCAAAGTTACGTTACCTGTGTGTAATCGGGAGTAGAAACGTTCTGTGGTATTGCAAGGCGTTTTCTATCTGCATCAGTCTGATTTTGTAATTGCACCTGTAGCTGCATCTGCTGTTGTTGCTGTTGTTGCTTAGTCCTATTTTGCTGATCTTCGTTCAAAACGCTGGTAATAATACTTTTTAATCTATCTTCGAAGTTCGCAACTCTAGGAGGTTCCTGAGTTCTACTTATTGTATCTTTATTGTTCATTTGCGATTGCGAGGACAAGATGGATGACGAAGTAGTAGAAAAGCTGAGAGATGCTTGTGGCAGTCTGGTTCTACAATTGTTACTAATGTTAGGAATCTGTCTGTTCAGTATTCGGCCAGCTTCGATTTGTCTGCCGGTCTCGAGAATCTTCTGGGCTAGTATTTCCGGATTGTTCTCTTGTATTTTTCCGATGTCGGGTACCTCGGGCCAGTCTTGAGACCTGGACCGTCCTTCCCTGTTCTTCCGCGACGAACTGTTCTTACCATTTTGCTGCAGCTGTTGATGATGATGATAGTGATGTTGATTCTGCGAAAGTTTGGATCCCACCACCTCTCGCTGCTGCTGAGCCATGACTACTTGTTTCTCACTGCTAGCCCTTTCCAATACACTGAGCTCATGCTCCAGCTTGGACACCTACAGATTTATTATACTGTAACAAACTGAAAAAGGGAGAGAAGGAGAATGTACCTGACAGTGTAGTCTTTTCCGCTGCGACAACGTCGCGGAAATTTCCTTCAGAATGTAATCTTGCGTAAGCGGTTGCGGTGGATTCGATATGCCGTTCGCGTTCGTCAGACTACTATATTTCTCCTGTAACTCCTGATGTCTGAGCGCAGTCAATCTCGACTGTTCGTTCTCCATGGATGCGACCTGAGCTTGCAGTTTACTTGCTTTCGCTTGCAACTGTTTATGCCTGAGCACTATTTCCTTTGCCTTTGCGAGTAGGTCTCCAGGTGACGTCGCGTTTATGCCCAACTCGGTCATCCTCGCTTTCAGAAGCGCCACGCTATCGTCGATCAATACTTTTATCTGTTTCTCTAGTTGCGCCGCTCTCGATTGCAATTTCGAATTTCTTTCCCTTTCTTTCGCGATGTCCGTGTTCACTGACACTCTGTACGAAGGAGTTCTCATTGATTCTAGCATAAGCATGAATTGGTCCCTAAACAAACACACGATTATAAAAACCGGCCGATGCGAAAAACATTGCTCCGATAGAGTAAATGTACCTGTACAAGTCCAAAAGTATTTGCAACGCATAAGGAGTGGCGGCCGGGGCAGGTGGTATGCTCAGTTCTTCGTGCACCGAGGTGGAATGTGATTGTAATGAAAGGGACAGAGAGGACAGCTGCTGATCCACGCACCCAGGTGCGGGCGGTGGTTTCTTTCCCAAGGCCTGCGGCGACGTGCTGAGCAACGTTTGGCTATGCAACAAGTCCAACCCGGAAATATTGATTGCTTTTTTGGGCCTCGATTTCTTCACGCCTCTTCCTCTCTGCCTGCCCCTCGCCGGAGGTCTCGGTATGCCGTTAGATTTTCTATTTAACTTCCTGCGGATCTTATTCGGCTGTCGACGATTCTTCATATTATTCTCATCCATGTCCGAATCGCTGTTCGTTCCTTGCTGCTCGGAATGATTCGGGCTGTCCAACTGTCTCGACAGATCTCGTTTAGCTCTGTCGCCTCTCTCGGCTCTACTGGTTACCTTATTACTACTGCTGGCAGTGTTATTTATCACAGAATCAGAGTTTTCGTCGCCGCCTTGTTTATTATTCTTCAAGCGGTGGAAATAGCGTTCTAACTTCGTACGATCAATCACGTGTAAATAATAAGACACCGGTTTACCAGTCCAAGAGACGGACCCCTTTAACGGTGACATCTCCGAAACGTGCATTATAGTGCCGATATCTATAAATAAATATATATACCCATCAATCGTTATGAATGTACGACCTAGTCTACTAAAAGTAAATTTATGTTACCGCTAAGATTTCTATCCGTTATGCGAAAATTAAGGGGACAAAAGGATTTCGACGATACGATACGTGCACCGTCACGCAGGTCCGCAAAACGTTCTTTCAACTGATGATCCACCGTCGGTCCAAATGCGAAATTATTGACAAACACTATCGTAGCTCCGGTAATACTCTCACGATGTTCATCGGCTAAAAAATCGCCTTTTACCAAACGATAATCGCCGCATCTCTTTCCATACCAATTCAACCATTTACGAAAGTTTACTTCCATGCTCTAATGTTTGACAGAAACAAGAGACTTGAGCATGAAATACATCGTGATTAATAAATGTCACGCCACGCTCAAGGAGCCTTTAAGAATAGATATACCTGTGCATATCTCGATGGTACATCAGCTCTCTCGACACCGATACAAATTTTACACAAAGTCGCAGCGGCCATCTGAAGAACCACTTGCCCAACTCCGGATCCCAGATCGACGAACACATCGTCCTCCGTTACGTCGATCTGATCTATCATTTGACACACTAACTCGTAACTCGTTTCCCCGTAAACTTCTGGTGAAAACGGTTCGTATTGATTCAATTTATCTGGTTCTACCACCGCCTGGTTGTACGTTTGCTGCAGAATGTGTCTCAACAACCCGCGACTGGGTCGCTTATTCAACCTTTGTGACGGTAAACTAGTGCCTTTTTCCTATAGACGGTAAGTTTTAGTACGCAGGTATGAAGAAACAGCTGTTTTCGTTACTCACCAATTGGACCAAGCTATCAATCGCTCTATTAAATCTGTCGCATAAATTTTTCATGCTCTCGTAATTCCTTGTATCATAATCGCACAGGATATTGTTTTCCAACGGCAGCTTCAAATCTGGCAAATCTTCGCAAACCCAACGCATTGTTTCGACAACATCGAGCGCACCATCGTGACGATCCTATAATTAATTAATTAATCGCTGCACCTTCTCTATATATTTTAAACAATTAAGTCCAATGACGCGTAATGAGACTACTATGAAATGAACCTTCCGTTTCTTCACATTTCTTACAATAATAATTCAGTAGGTACGTTACAATTTATTGCCATGACAAAGATTTACTGAAATAAATTATCACTATTGTACAATAAATACGGCAAAGTAAAAACCGAGGAGTAAAATAAAACAAAAAATGGTTATAAAAAAGAATACAAACTGACATGTGTACTTACACTTCCCTACGCATAACAAATCCTCACGTATGCACGCCTGCGCTCGGTCATACACGAGCACGCACTCACACACATTATTCACAGGCATACAAAACTACACAGGGTCCAATTAAAGACTGTGTATGTAAATAATTGTTAAAAATGACGCCCGGCCGATAATTAAAAATCAGCAAGAACTAGATCACTCCATAAGAACGAGATAAACGTGACAACGCGCGATAAAGATAACAATGCAAAGAATTCGCGTCGCACGATACACATACGATCAGCTGTGAGAACGAGGGATAAACGACAGATCGTGGAACAGTAGTTTCACCTCAGAATACCGTATTCCACGCATGTAAATCGTAGAATTCGCAGTAAAATCTGTTACTCACAGATCCGGATCCGGAGGTAAGGGGCCATTGATAGACGATCGGTTCTGCTCCGGCTGGCGAGTGCAGGCGCAGCTCCATTTTAGCAGGGCCGTCGTCCTCGTCCCCGTCGTCGTCGCCGTCCACTTTTCGGGCACAACTTGTCCCACGCAAACCCAGTTGAACTCAGGATCGCGTGACGTAACCAGACGGTGCTCGGTGGAGGATCAGGATTGCTCGTCCTCCCCGCACTAGGACACTACCACCACGTAGACGACGCTCGCGGACCTCCCCGCTCCACGGTTACTTCCCCGGACATGAAAAGACACCTCGGGCCACCCGTCAGCGACCGCGAATTTACAGAGGCCAAGGGCAAGCGTCACCACGTTCGACGCGACGATGGGGGCACGGCGAGAACAGCCACCAGGAACACGGGACACGAGGCGCGCAACAGAAAAACACTGACAGACTATTGTGCTGCTCGAGAAACAGCGGTTTGGGGGGGATGACGACATCAAAACATGGCGTCATGCCTCTTCCTTTTACCGTGCCGTGCTCGCAGCGCAGCACATCCGGGTGTTCCGCGTAAACTTCACCCAATACGCATGCGTTTGGAGAACCGTTGAACGACCGCGGATACAACTTTATATATCCCCCCGTTACGTTATATCAGATTTTTACTACATACACTTATTCTTTCCGTTGATACAAAGGAAAAGCATGATATATCCGTATTCTATCAGCAACGGCGATCGTCCCTCAAAGTATCGTTCCATGTGCTGTGTCTCAGCACAAGTAATTTGATGAATATCCTTCCTCTCAGGCTTATAAATAATATCCAATTTACTGGAATCGCGAGGGTCTACGCGAGTTCTATACCAACACAGTTGTACTTTAAATAAAAGGTTGATGTATGCAAATGTGTTAGGTGGCTGCATATATTATGCGGCGAAAGCGAAAGCTTGGATATCGATATTTCTCAAAGTAGCAGAAGTACGATTACACACATCTGCGGGTTGATTTATTCGTTGGTAGGTAAGGGTAAGACATGGTTGGACATGGTACTTGTCACGTAGGCCTGCCTAGCACTGCCTAGGCAACACGAGAATCGGCGTTCAACACCTCTGCACTAATAAAGCGTGTATGGAATAAATGTTTAACGATACGCTTCGATAAATAGTTTGTAATATATGTAAAATTATTAAGACCGAAGCTAGATTAGATATCGTCACAGTATATATCGTCTCCTGTATATAATTACATATGTGAAAATGTGTGATGATGTTTTGATACGCCTTACGGGATTTATGCGAACTAAGGAGAAGCCAGTTACCATTGAATGACGTGTTACGCATATTTCTCGATTGTAAATTGTAAATATATCGAAAGTAGGTTAATTAGGTAACATAATAGAAGTGTAGCCATGACTGATGAATTGAAATTAGATCACCGTGCAAAAAAGAGGATCAAAGAGGTTAAACGAAAGGCGAGGCCAGGTAAACATGTCATAACCTAGTTGGTAACCTGTACGTTGACGTGATTTCGGTGTAAAATTGATCATTAACAAGAACAATGTGTCTTCACAAATTATTTTATATTGCTAGTATGACTAGAAGTAATTGAGACAAGGTTTGTCCTCTTGTGACGCTCGTCGTTATAAACAGAATTTGGAAATGCGATACAAGACCGAACTGTTTTGTCCCGACCTTGGATGATGTAACTCCAAATTTACTGAAAGTATTACGATAACATTTTCATATAATGCACTTATACATACAGCTTGCCGTTTCAATTGTCGTAGAAACATTATAAATCCTATGTTACATAATGTCAGCGAACATGCAAATCAGATCTTGGTTGTTTGCATAGTACTGCATTATTTTTATGCCATTGAAATGTCCTCTTCCTTTCAAAATTATGTACCACCGTGCTAGAAGTACAAATTTTTTGTAGAACTTGGTGATAAAGCGACTTGGACCCAACATGGCTACAGTAAAAAGTTCGAATTGTTTTGGAATTTTACCGACAATGTAGACCGAATTGAGGAATCCAAAGTGTCTACAGAAGAGTTCATAGAAAAATATGAAAAACCTTACAAACCTGTGATAATACAAGGTGTTCAAAATGATTGGAAAGCCCAATATAAGTGGACTATAGAGGTATACAAATTTATTGGATTATATGCGATTTCCTTAATAAAACATTGTTTGGTAATGTCAGTCTTCGAATCCAGAGGTTAATAAAGAAATACAGAAATCAAAAGTTTAAATGCGGCGAAGACAATGAAGGATACAGTGTGAAAATGAAAATGAAGTACTACGTGCGTTATATGCTTAATAATGAGGATGACTCGCCGTTGTATATCTTTGACAGTTCCTTTGGCGAACATCCTAGACGAAAAAAATTGTTAGAAGATTACGTTATACCGAAATATTTTCGCGACGATCTTTTTCAATACGCCGGCGAACACCGCAGACCACCGTACCGCTGGTTCGTCATGGGACCCGCGAGATCCGGTAAGTTTCGCTGATCTTCAAATTGAATAGAAAAAAATTATCAAAAACTGGTTTATTCAAATAATTATTTTAGACTACTTTTGAATAAGTTATGTGAATACAGGTACGGGCATACATATAGACCCTTTAGGGACCAGTGCGTGGAATGCGCTGATCTCGGGACACAAACGCTGGTGTTTGTTCCCTACGCATACTCCGCGAGATCTCCTCAAAGTGACCGCGGCTGAGGGTGGCAAACAAAGAGACGAGGCTATCACATGGTTTTCTATTATTTACCCTCGTACGAAATTGCCTACGTGGCCGCAAGATTGTTTGCCTATCGAAATTTTACAAAATCCTGGGGAAACGGTCTTCGTTCCTGGTGGATGGTGGCACGTCGTTTTAAATCTCGACGAGACCATCGCGGTCACACAGAACTTCTGTTCGCGTACGAATTTCCCAGTGGTATGGCATAAAACGGTACGAAACTGGGAGTGAACACGATCGATCGAATTAATTCCATTTAAATCATGTAGTTAATTTGCGTTAGGTGAGAGGGAGGCCAAAGTTATCACGCAAATGGTTAAAAGTACTCAGGGACAAAGAGCCAGAATTGGCGGCTCTCGCTGAAACGATAGACGTTAAAGAAGATACGGGTGTTGCCAGTGATTCTTCCAGCGGTTCGTCGAGTAGCTCTTCGAGTAGCAGTAGCAGTAGTCAGTCGCATGACAGCGCGGATGACAGTGGTCAAGAATCATTAACGACGCATAAAAAGAAGAAGAGGTACGTTTCAATATTATTATCCATTTATTTGTCGATAATTATAAATATAATTAGGTGTATAATACTGTGTGTGTTTGAAATTTTCAGAAGAAAACTAAACAACAGCCAACCCTGACAATATCAAGCATTTGGGACCTACAGAGACCTCAGACTGTACAGTATTAACCAACAATTATTGTTTGTACTAAGAGTAAATATTATAATTATTACCACCTTCATGTTCATAATAAAATAAATGCTAGGTAATACCAAATTTGTTCTTATTAACTAAATTTGTTATCTATTCTGCACTTAACTCGCGATAATGCACTTAATTCGCTGAATTAATTTTTTTCTCTAGTATATTACTTAAGCCTTTGGACTTCGTTTTTCTATGTAGTATAAGAAACGTTATTTAAAAATCGCTATTTATAAACTCTGTACACACGAAATGCTTATACGCGTGCGTATGCGTATGTATACGTATATCTATTAAGGCAGTAGACATGAAACTCAAGTCATACAATCCTTAGAAACACATTCACATATGTTATAAAACAAAAAGTATTAGCAAAAAATTAATACAGTCAACAGGCAATACGTTGGGTGCATTATCATTGAAAATCGTTACGTTAATTATGTCTAGCATCTTGAGAGTCAACGTAAATGAATAAATAAATTAAAAAGAAGAGTGTATACGTTACGAAACAAAAACAATAGTTCCAATAGGTGCAAGTATTAGCTTTTTAACGAGTTGCTTCTTTGGAAAGTTCTTGCATCTCTCTTATAGTAGCTCCACAGCCTCACCGTTCCGTCACTTCACGTTGACACGGTAACCATGCAAAGCACCAAATTGGTGTGTACACAACATAGAAGCAAAGTAATACAAGAAAATTAATTTTCATAGTTAACTATTCATCTAACGCGTATCACCGATAAACAATTCGAATAAATTGAAAGCGCATTTCCGATTTCCATTGTGATCGAGTACATTTACTTCAAACCACTTGAGGTAGAAATTTAATTACTTCACTCGTTCGTTAATTATAGGGCAATAAACTTGGAACGAAGTGTTAATAGACATCGATTGTTTTAATATAGATAATAGAAACTAGAAAATAAAAACCACGACATGTCCACCGCACACGGTTCATCATGAAACATGAATGTGTGTGCTTAGATCAAGCATGCGGATCACGACATTAACTTATAAATGCAGAAGAATACTACGCAGCAGAATAGAAAAATAAGTTATAGGGAAACTGTAGAAATAGACATGGACAATGAGGAATCGGGAATACGCCACAGCTTCACCTCTCCAGAGCTGCAATCAACATTTTAGACGTTATTCCATTCAAGAAGTTTACAATAGATACTGACCCTGAGCAAACGAGCTTAAAAAGATGCTTTGGGTCAGTTTAATCGGTATTCTAGGCAAAGATATGATCCGAGAGAAGGAGGAGATGTACTTACTTGCTTGCAGTGAAAACATGCTGTTGATTAGTGTTCACGGCATTAATGGCCGAACCATGGGCTCGGACCTCTCCTATCGGAGTGCAATCCGCTTGATCCTTTGGTACAGACCATGCCTTCAGAACTCCTCCTCGGCATCCCGATATCATCACAGATCCGTTATTAATTGTGCACAAGCCAAGGATCCAATCCTTGTGAGCATTATTCAGTGATTGGACTAGTTCCATTCGGCTTAGATCCCATCGCTTGATACACATGTCTCTTGAGCCTGAACAATTCACATTACACTTGAGAAACCTAAAACCCAAGAAGGAACCATTTCTGCTATTTTTCTACTTGCCAGAAAATAGAGTCGAATCGCAAGTCGTCAGGCACTCAACGCCATCGTAATGCGGTGGTGTCAAACTAATGGACTGTCCGGACGCGTTCGGCTCCACCAGAGATATCAAATGATCTTTACTTCCTGTTATCACTCTGCCATCTTCGGCGACAGCCAGACACATCACCGCCGCGGTATGGGGCGTGCTCAATCTCCCAGTATGCGTTAATTTACGAAGATCCCACACTCGAACTTTATCGCTCGACGCGGTATACAACTCCTGTTCATCTATGCTAAGAGCCAAATCATTGATAGTCGTCTCGCCGACAGGAACTTGAACCATTCTAGACGGTGTCGATAATGCGATCGCCCCACATTGTGCTTGACCAGACGAGAACAAAGTCTTAACGCAATTGTTGCCCTTTCGCAAGTCCCAAACCTTCACGTAGGCCGAAGAAACGCTGAACAGCAAATTGTTCACCGACGAGTATTTCACTGCTACGACGTTGTTCGGGTGACCTGTTAACGTTAGATTCTCGATTCCTGTCCCCAAGTCCCACACTTTTACCGTTCGATCTAAACGTATTCAGAAAATTCAGTTACAAATGAGGCTCACGTTTAGTAATTATGATTATTACCTTTCGAACCACTGAAGAGCAAGTCTGGCGTAGCATATATCGTTAGAACAGCTTTACTGTGGCCCTCGGCTACGTGAGTGCATTGAAGAACGGCGCGTGGCTGTGTCTGGAATTAATCATCCGCGTGACATCGTGACATCATAGTAAAATACAGCAGCAATGTCGTCAGAGTTGTACCTTGCCTTGGTATTGAGAGATAATTCCCTTCATGGGCTGTGGTTCAGTCGACGCGGGTTGCCGGCTTGCAGTTAATCTTGAGAAAACATTCTCCTCGCGACTGTTGAATCGTCGGTAAGTGGTCGGAGATCCAGGCGGTGACGACACGTCTGTATGTGCTACCTGTTCCCTAGTTGAGGGTTTGTTATGTTAGCGTGTTAGTTAGCCGAGTATACTGTCAATTATAATCCAGGCAATGTTACCTTCGAATCATGCAATTGCTACAACACCGAATATCGTTGAATTACAAAACGTATTCATTTCTTTTCGTCATCGTGAATGAATACTGTATTGACATTTATGAAATGAAAATACAGCGGTTCGTTATTTACAGCGTTACAGTGTTACGTTATACATAGATGAACGAGGGACAGTGCGCCTTAAAATGATTGTGCTTTTATTTATTAATCGACATGTATACAAAATAACTGCTTACATATGTACAAAATTTGTGATCTCAGCACGAGACTTCGTACAAATAGAATTTCTCGTTACATTTACAATTGTATTAATGTTCGATATATACGTGGTACGCATCACGCGTGAAAACGAGCTTAACAAAGAATTTCGAGTAACAACGACAAACAAGATATTATTGGTAACAAGTTTCCGGAAAATCAGTGCATCGAATACGCTGTTTTATACAAGTCAGAATTTTCTTCCTAATTTAAATTAGTTAGTAATCCTACGTCTATAAAGAATACGCAAACATTAAGAAAAATAAGTTTTAAATTAATTATTAAATTATACTAATTCTTTTGATACACATCTTTTTCCATTGGAAATATCTGCGGTGCAGTGCTTATGTGTGAAAAGAGACACGGACATTTTTTATGAAAAGAGCTTAACCAAGAATACTCGAAATAGTGCATCAAAGCAAAGATATGCGAAAAATATAAAAAGTAAAACGTGCTGCAGGATTACCACTCACATGGAGCCTCCGCCAGGGTGTAGCGGTCTTCGTTGTGGCCTTGGCGATGTGCTGTCCCGCCGACTTAGAGTCGGAGATCCACCAGCTATTGTGCCATGACTTCTTGTCAAGACCAGTCCCCTAAGACCCGAAATAAAATTGTTTGTAATCGATTATACGAGCGATCAAAACGAATGAAAAAGAATTATATTAACTTCAGGCTCCCAGGTGCACTAGGAACCCTGGTAAGAGGGTGATTATGGCTTTGACTTTGTTCCTCTGCCTTTAGATTATCTGGGCTAGCTTGAACTCCATAAAGAAGCTCTTGGGGTTGTGTGGTTCTTCGTCGCACCTTATTATTTCGCTGCCTCTCCTCTCCCATTATCACTTGGCTGTAATTTTCACTAATACTTGAAATTAAACATGTGTTCCTGAAGTAAATCATATTAATAATAATGTATGGAGAACTTACTTATCTGGCGACGAACTCCGCGAGCTTGGAGGGCTGTAGTTCATCGTATTGTTATGATGATTGTTTGTAAGAGATAAAAGATCTCTATCCCGCAATACGTGTTCCAATAATTGATGCTGTACATCGCTTTCTTGCGCCACTTGATTCAATCTCGATTCCATGTCCCGAACTTCGAGCTGCTTCTGAGCAGCTACACAGCTTTGCTCGACGGTAAATGCTAACATCCTTTGTAACAAGTATTGAGCCTCGTCCACCGAGTGAATTGTCGATATGAGAGCTTCGACGCCGGGTTCGCTCTCGCCTTCCGCGTCTCCCATTTCCATCATATCGCGCTGGCACTCGGAAATACTATCCTGCAAGTAGCTGATCTTACTCCTGACATTGTCAATCTCTTCGTCCACGTCGGTCGTGTCTCCCCTGACGCTTGCCACAGCATGCCTGTGCTTCTGTAGCTTCTCGAGCTCTCTACCCAGTTCCTCTCGCTCTTGAAGAAGTCTTTCCATTTCTCTCTCCGTTTCCACGGCTGCTTGTTTAGCCAGCGCTTGTTTGGCAATCGTCCTTTCAAACGTTTGCCACCTCTGCCTCAACGCTTTTGGATTTATCGGTTTAGGCGGTGCTCTACCAGCTGCTTTCTGACTCAAGCCTCTATCTCGTTTCCTCAACGCCGACACCTCTTCCTGCTTTCGCCTCAGCACTACCTCCTTCATTCTTTTGTCTGCCTCGAGCGTACGGATCATGTTAGCGTTCTTCCTGCTCTCCTTACGCAGCTGCGCTATCTCCCTGTTGCGTTTCAGCTCGTTCTCTTTATGTTTCTGTGCCTCTTCGCGCATCTTGTTCAACAGTTTCACTTTCGTCCTCTTCATCTCTGCCAATTCGTTTCGAAGACCCCTCAATCTGTTCTCGTTCTGTGACTGACTCTTGAGCAATATCGCGTGTTCCTTCTTCATAGTTTGGATAAGACGCAATTCTTTTTGCATCGCCGTAAGTTTCTTCTCGTACTCATCGCGCAACTTCTTCACTTTCTCCGTCGGCGGCGTCGGCTGCTGTTGCAGAGACTGTAACACCTTGTCCCTCTCTTCTTGAGTGTCCTTGATGCGAGCTTGCAATTGAGCAAGCTTGTCCTCATAATGTTGCTTCAGACTTTGCAATCGTCGTTGCGAAAGTTCGAGTTCTTGTATCAACCGTTGCTTCACGTCGATGTTAGATGTTAGATCCTCTAATTCGCGGCCCATAGCTGCTTCCTCTTCGTCTTCTTCTGCAAAACATTACGGTCAACAATCGACTCACCGTTACACGTTTTTTATAAAAAATTACCTTTCCTATCTGAATCATCGTCCGATTCATCTTCGCTAACGGAATCTTGTCCGGCTTCCGCGTCATCGCCCTCTCCGTCTTCTCCTGTTTTACTGGCAGTATTGGTAGCGTGTGCTTGCTGCTCTCTCAACGCGTTCAATGTTTCCATTTCTTTCTTCAGCTCCTTCTTAGCATCGTTTAATACTGACGTAGAATCACTGTGAAACGTATATCCAGAATCACCATAGGGATTAGCCGCGTTCACCTATAAAAATATTCGGAAATTAATTATGGACATGGTATTTATTTATACTTACGTACATACCTGCATTTGTCGTTTCTTTAATTGCTGATACATGGCCTCCGCCTCCAACAGGCGAGCCCTCAGCTCTTCTATTTCCTGCAAGTATCCCTGTATCAAACTTGTTACTTCAGGATTGTCACCCGTCGCCGATAACCATTGACCAGCAGCTTTTTCTGCCTGCAGAAGAACATTTTTTGCTGTCAATGCTTCAATTGTCTCCGAGAGAGCTTTTACTCTAGTGCGAAGACTTTGCAGTTCGCTAGTCAACATTTGGTTTTCGTGCCAAGCATCGTTGATACCGTCCTCGCCAACAACTCTTTTGCCTGAAAAAGGAAAATACGTGTCATAAAAATAGATTTGTTACACGGATTCTTCACACTTCATTACTTACCTTGTCTATATTCCATTAATTCCAATTGAAGCTGCTGTATTTCTCTTCGAAGAGAAGCAATGGTTCTTGAACTTTTATCCTGATTAATCATAACTTTGTTCTTTATATTTCTCGCCCTGTTCGCATATTTCAATGTGCTTAAAGTTTCCATGAAATCTCTATCGCTTGGCGATACACAGGCTATCATGACAGTTTGACTGTTGCCTGCAAATATGACAATTGAACGGGTACACTATACGTAGGTATTTGCATCTAATTACCTCCTAGCGAATCTTGCAGCAGCCTCGTCAGCTTTGAATCCCTGTACGGTACATGTAAAGCTTTCTTTGATTTGTCACCAAGCGCGGAAATTACGTTACCCAGTGCCAGCTATAATATAAAATACTATTTTCTAACAAACCACGTGAATTAACATTCGGACAATTCTAGAATTTTCAAGATATTACCAAACCACAATTTATAGATATTCCTTCTTTCGCTCTATCCCCCGTGGCACCAGTCCTCTTCAGTCTCTCCGAACCAGCTAAGTCAACGAAATGAAACTTTGCAGTTAAAGTTTCGAACTCGCTAGCTGGTTCGGTGCCACTCGTGTCAACATCAGCATCCGGATCTTCAACTTTGATACACCTCTGTTGCTTTATGTACAACGTGAATATCGCGTGCGATCTCGACGATTGGGTGTTCATTTGGGTGGATCCAGTCGTCCGCGATAGTGCCCCTAATCTTAAATACTCTAACGCTTCTTCTGGACTAGTGACGATCCTCGGTTCCACGCCAGCCAAGTGTATATTGCCCGAGGGATCTTCGTGAATTCGAGCACCACCTCGAGGACCACCGGGCTCTAGCAAATCCTTCAAGTCTTCGTTATACAATTCCAAAAATTGTGCTGTAACCTGAGGGAACAACAGTTTATGCAACATTCAATTTGATCTTATGGTAACGCGACGCTGCGAACAGGGCATCGCATTTCTTGAGATTTCTTTCATCCTGTTGCACACCTTAAATTCCGGAGGCATTTGTGCACGTTCTCGAGCGTGTTGCTGTTTCTCCATGATACCGTCGAACAGGTGTCTAATGGCTCTTGGAATAATTCCAACTATGTTTTCGTCAACTTCCACATCGAACCCAGTGCCCATTGTATATGTTTTTCCAGAGCCTGTCTGACCATAAGCAAGAACGGTAGCGTTGTACCCATCCAATGCACCTTCTATCAAACGTGCGACACACGTTTCGTAAATTGTGCACTGTCCAATGCTGGTATCGAATACATAATCATACGTAAAGGCCTTGTCTGGTCCGAGAAAGACTTGGGGTTCTCCTGGAGGTACTTGGGTACAAATTCTACACATATCAATTACTTCGCGCGCTACTTGAGGCCTTATTCTGGAATTTACAGAAGCAGAATTACGCGATCAGACTTGCAAGCGATCGTATCGTGTATCGTTATGTTTGATGTCGTAATCGATAGCATCAGCTGTTACTGTTATGTGTTTGCTCAGCGGAATAGGTACAAGAGAAGGATAATTGAAGCGAGTTCGAGAATAAATAACGTAAGAAACGAGAGACGGAAACATGGTGACGTAGTTATGTCAGATTTAAAGTCGAAGAAGGCGAATGGAATTCATTCATCAGTATGCCGGGATTACGTTCGTTATACAACCGGTAATAAGACCCACGCGTCTTTTTCTTTAAAAGGAGATATTATGCGACTTAAAGTATGCAACGCGGTGCTGCGTAGAAAAATATTCTAATAGTAAAACAGACTGTTATGAGAGGGGGGAACAATTTCATATTTTTAGTAGAAACTTATATTAGTTTTAAAACAGTACGTGTGTACGAGAAGGGATAGAATTTTATTTGTCGGCTAATGAAAGGTGAAACGAAATTTTCTAAAATCATGAAAGTGTGACTTCCGCAGTCCGCAATCACGACAATGCAGATGCATCAGAGAAATATGCATAATTGCATAAATAAAATAGGCAAATTTTGCAGGGTCGTTTGTTACAAAAATTAAATGTTCACACTTCGAATTCGAACGAAGTTTCGCGCGTATCACTAGGGTCGGGCTTGACTGACGTTCGCTGAACAAATATTGACGATGTGAATTACGAACTGTCATCGCGTAAGTTGTGTCATCTCGCCATGCAATTTATGATACAACTACGCGGCGAAGAGCGTCTTTGGAAGAAAAACATAGCAATGAACGTTTTATAATAATGCTAATCATGTACTCACCGTACGGCAACGCGTACGCTCGTATCATCAGCCATCTCGACGTTGTGCAATTGTTACAGCGTGAAAGTAGTAGAAAACTTGAAGTAAATCAAACTGTTGCGATTAGGCCGAAACTGTTAGGCGACGGATGGATAGAACTTATCGATACGAATGCGCAAGCGTTATTAAATGCCGCCGCTGTGAACATTCCGCATTTCTCGTCCCGTACGCGAGAATGCACCTCAAACATGTCTCATAACGGGAAGGAAAAATCTTTCTACGCTAGTCGCCTCATCGTCCAAGGACTAAACGAGACGAGCTACCCGAGCTACTGGAATTGAAGAGGAAATGGAGAATGGAGCACGGACTGAATGGAGAGTGTTCACGCCCGAGATTTCGTGATTCTCGTACAAGTGCTGCACCAAGAGACGAACTATCGAAAGGTTGCAGAGGCAACGAAACCGATAGACGGTATTACAGACGAGATTCACATTTCAAACGAGCATTTATTGTTTCATGGCATACATTCTAAACGACGAATCGAATCACTTTGGAATTTGGAATCTTCGTTTTTTTATTCATAAAAATAGATGTAAGAGATCGAACGAAATGAGATCCAGCTGTTGTCTTAATTTCTCCTCTTGTTGCATGTTATCAAACCACCTCGACACATGTACATACAGTGCTTTTTCTTGGTGAGTTAATTCCCGCTGTAAGAAAAAAAAATAGGCCAAAGAGATTAGATTGATCTATAGAATGTACTAAGGATTCCTATGCCCCGGTTATGACACTTCGTTTTCATTACCATTATCGAATATAAAGCGTAATACAACACGACGTCAACGATGGTTTTAGTCGTACCAGTTAAATACGTGTTGTCTCTCAGAGCAACGTTCAATTCCTGTAGAAATTAATTTTTAATTTACGTTCAGTTCGTTTCTTCTTCATGATTTAAATTGATTCACCTGTAAAACTCTTCTCGCGTTAGCGGGAGCATCGGCGTAATTGACACAGACGACTGCATATTCCAACCATTGACGCGACAATGATTGAATCTCATTATCGCTACCAAGTAAATCGGGATACTTGGAAGTTCTGGTTAAATATTGAATTACCGTGCTAAACCCTTCTAATTTCTTATTCGAATCCTGATTCGTACTAACGATCACCTGTAAAATGGTACACGTAACATTTATTCGAGCTCTGGACGCACAGTATTCTTGAAGAAAATCGATTATTTACATTATCTTGCATTTCTAACAGCAATGGGGAAACGTCTAAATACTTGGAAATTCTTTCGACACATTCCACGTTACACAGAACCATTTTTAACACTTTCTTTTGCTTGCTTCGTTTACCTTATAGGATTACTTCTATAGGTTAGTTAGATTAAAAGAGCGGGACGAAACTGTACGAAATACGAATGTCGGTGGGAACTAGGTGTGATACTTGTTGATTTTGTTCGAAGCGAATAATTAGGGACACGGTAAAAATAACAAGGTGCACAGAGTATTTTTAACGTCAATTAGGGGTTTATTTCGAATATACAATTTTGTTGTAACAACGGCTGTATAAAATTTGCAAGCTAACGATAATAGAACGATCTATTACATTTTTCGTCGAAATCGGTGTATTTATAAGATTACAAAATTAATTGACTTAGCTTAAATATTTGGACCTAAGTCGTCTATCTCGAGAGATAGGTTGTATCATATCAGAACCATAAAAATATATTTCGATAAATTACATTAAAATAATGGCATCTAAGAAATGATGTACTTTCCATCACTTGGAATAGGAATGAACGATCAGCTGACAAGTAGTCAAACTGATCAATTTTCTTTCCAACAGCGTGTTCCCATTGTTTGGCATTTATAATTTCATGAACATGTATTTTCTTCTTGCTGCATTGTAAATTTTTAAAAGGTTTCTTATAGTTTCGAGTTTCGATTGAGATTACAGTTTCGAGCGGTACCTATAGGGAGATGTAAAATTTTTAGTCGTACAAATCAGGTACAGTGAACGCTGCAAGAAAAAAATATGAAAGTAATATCATAGTTAAGACGTTATCTGTAAAATCTCAGTCATAGTTGTATCCATAAAAGTGATCGAACTGTACTTGGAGGATTACATACAACTTGTAAGTACATCGTAGCAAAAAGTTAATCGTTAAAATGAGTTTCGTTAAATTTGACACAAATCGTGAAGTTAATTTCACTTGTCTACTATTCAAAAACCGATATGAGTTCTCGTAATACAATTTTGCACAGTTGCATACATATTTGTATGTAAGCACGTATACTTAAAAATCGACAAATCATATGCAATTAAATGCAGGTACTTTTTTTTTTGGAAGTTACTTCCTCAGTATGTTCCTATTTAAAAAAGTCTCTTTTCGTACGAGAAAAGACTATGAACGTTCCCCTCCTGCTGAGCGGAGTGCGTTCTTCTCTCGAACTTTAGTTCTCCGCTGTACATCATAGATCTCAAAGCAGATATCGATCTCGCTCCTATATCTTGGCATCCGTGCTTAATGCCGCACAATAAATACGGCAGGAACTTCAAAACAGTTCCCTTATCGACTATCGAGCCGCTGACACCTTGGGCCACTTTCAGCTTATCCATCTCGTTATGGAAGTACCTGTCCATAGCCGAGCCCTGCGCATCTTTTCTATTCATGGCTTCCAACGAGCCCATACCCCTGTATTTCTTCAAACGTACCCCGTCGCTAAAGAAATATTCGCCTGGCGCCTCAGAGGTTCCGGCTAACAGCGATCCCATCATTACTGTGCTAGCGCCTAGACTTATACCTTTAATGATATGCCCGATGGACTGAATTCCACCATCGGCGATGACAGGCACACCGAATTTTCTCGCGTACTCCGCCACTTTGTATACCGCAGTTGCTTGAGCTCTCCCCACAGCCATCACTTCCTGAGTGATACAAATCGAGCCGCAACCCATACCTACTCTCAAAGCGTCGGCACCAGCTTCAATGAGATTCTTCGCTTGCATAGTCGTCACCACGTTCCCAGCTATTATTTGTAGGTCGGGGAATTCTGATTTAATGTATTTGATCATATCGATCTGATATATGGAATTGCCTTGTGACGAGTCTAAGACGATGACGTCGACGCCGGCTGCGGCTAGAAGTTGCAGCCGCTGTTTATCCGTGCTCCGTGTTCCGATCGCTGCACCGACTAATAATTGCTTGTTATCGTCCTTACTGGCGTTCGGATAACTGCGGTTCTTCTTTAAATCGGTTCTCGCCATCAGAGACACCAGTTCCCCCTTTTCATTGACTATCGGTAATTTTCCCTTTTTCGATTTCTCCAGGATTATATTCGCCTCTTGCAATGTCACGCCAGCAGTAGCGGTGATCAAGTTTTCTAACTTTGTCATGATCGTTTCCAACTTGATGTATTGCTGGTTCGGAGTGCTGTCCAAAAAGTCAATATCTCTAGACGTGACGATACCTAATAATTTACCTCCGACCTTCCCGGTGTCCGTGATGGGCACGCCAGAAAAGCCATGCTCGGCTTTCACATTTAGAACATCCTTGACTGTATGGCTTGGTGACAGAACAACTGGATCTCTGATGAAGCCATGCTTGTACTTCTTGACCTAGAACCACAAAGGTTTTTCAAACGATATTTAAACATTGTTAATTTCGACATCCAGTGAATTATTATCTGAATATTTAACAGCACTTAATCTTGTTCTCTTCCCGTTTTTATTAGATAAGTACATGAAAATATAAACATAAATAGGATTAATGTAACTAATCCAATAAGGCAAAAGCTCGTTACAATGATAAAAATTACCGTTTGGTGTCACTGTGACAGCAATAATGAATAAAAAAAGTGTAAAAATTTCGCGCGCCAGATAGGACAAAACCCGTGTTCAATCTATACGAATAACAAATGATACAGAATAGGAACAAACATTTAAATTAGAATATGAACCTTGTGCACTTCGTTGGCTTGATATTCAGCCGTGCAGTTATGATGAATTATTCCGATTCCACCGCACAGGGACATGGCTATAGCCATGTCGGATTCTGTGACCGTGTCCATAGGGGATGAAACCAGAGGTGTCTTGATCGTAATCTTCTTCGTTAACTGCGAGACCAGGTCGACTTCTTCCGCGGTGAAATCAATGTAACCAGGTAAAATGATGAAGTCGTTGTAAGTGAGACCATCGCCGGCAGCGAACAACTGTGCCGCCGATAGCCCATCGTCCGGCACGGGGATATTTATCGATTTTATCATACACTCTGCCATGATCTTTTTCGAAATTCGAATCTCCCCTTGATCAAAGAGCGAGCGACCGTTAGAATTACGAGAGAGGACACGCTCTCTCGGGATCAATGTTAAAAACCGCGGGCCTCCTGTAGATATTCGACCGGAGATCTCCAGACGAAATGACCGAAATCAACGTGCGCACAGTGCTTTTGTTGCCCGCGAGCAATGTCTAGTTCTGTATTCCTCTACTGAGGTCGTTACCGTCGTCGTCACGATGCCTCACGAATACGACCGAGTGCCTCTTTAAAATGAACAGTTTCCCGCGTTGCTTCGAAACGGAAGGGTTAAACGAAACGGTTCGGATAGTGAACCAAGTGAAAGGACAACAGGATGAAATGAAGGCTTCTGTCTCAAGGTATGTCAAACTTTAATCGTAAATACACGTGTACAAATGTTCGAACATTCACACCAGGATCAATTACAAAAATACTTGTCTAATACAAAATAAATATCGATAGTAAAATAGCTTTTTTTTTAACTTGCACATGGGTGCGGTGATCATCGTTAATTTTTACGTGACATTGCTGCATTTCTTACATGCTTGCTAGAAATGAAATTGAATATCTCACCGTGATAAGTTCAATTAAATCGATTATTGAAATTTCGTTTATAATCTTACTGGGTAGAAAAAAATTTGCTTTACACCGTCGTAAACACCGCCGAACGCTTCTTTGAACGACGACAAAATGTAGTCCACTACCAGTTCCAGGTAGCTTAGATTGTCGTAATTGTCGCTCTCTTCGTAATAAAAGTAGTCGTACAGCATCGGTAAAAATATTACCAGAATATACATCATACCACCGAAGAATACTAAATAAAAAAATAGGATTGTAACAACGAACGATGGTCTGATCATGGCCTGATCGATCTACGAATAAAACTATAAACTTACTGATAGACTTCAATTCTAAGAATTGTTTATCAGTAGTTTTGTTCTCATCGCGTCCCATTTTAAGTATATCGTCGTCAGTCAAATTTGGAACTCTTTTTGCATTGGCATTTCTCGAACTAACTTTATGATTCAATGGCGAGTCCTCCATCGTATGTAATTTTGTCTGTACAATATCCGGATTCGAGTCTCTACATATATTTACAGTAAATTATTAGTCTTTAGAAGCAATCGAATGATCATAGTTTTATAACTCACAGTGCTTTGTTGATCATGGTCGAGAGAGCTGTGCACTGTTCCAAAGTATGAAGCTCAGGATTTATTTTTAACTGACTTCGAAAATCTTTATCATCACTTATTTTCGCCCTTTTCCCTTTTTCGAGTGGATCCATTGTCAAGTGACGGGCATATTGTCGATCGATGCTACTCGGGTTCTGTATTTTATGTCTTAATTTATTATAATACTCCCAATAACTTCTGTTCAATAATTCTTGCGTTTTCGGCGAGATCCCCTTGGTTCTTTCACAGTTATCGTCTATATTCGATCTTGCAGAAACGTCGCACTTGCAATGTTCTCTTTGCAAGTACGTTTTCGACGAACTCTTAGCCATTTCTTGGCACGAATCCTGCTCGTTATCTCGCGCATAATATTGTCCAACGAAACGTGCATTATCAGTTTGTGCATTACATTCGTGCACGGATACTGGATTAAGATGTCCAATTTTCTTTACTTTATGATTGAACTTATGCGCCTGATTGCGTTTACATTTGCCGTACTGGCAGTTAGGCCACGCTAAAGTATAATCAGAATCGGCTAGCGCCGAGTGAGAATTCTTTTGAAAATAGGATTTGGCTTTTCTGGAAAATCTCGCCGATGCTTTTTTTTGCTTAAACGTAATGTACGGTTCGGAACTGCGACAGAGTTTTCTGGTGCATTCGTTCCTTGCACAACTCAAATTCTGTTCAGATTTGTTCTTCCCTTTCGTCTCGCAGGTCGCAGTTTTGTAATTGAACGACGATTGATTTTGATCTTGGCAGGGCACGGATTGCAGATATTCATTCTCTTTTGACAGAAGATTTATCTGCGCGTAATTTTGAACCGTCGTTTTATTATCGCCGTGCACGGTATCCGGATTAATTTTATTCACCCTCTTTTGAACGATTCGCGCAACGAATTCAGAGTCCGTGGTTTCCTCACCGCTAGTCTCGCACTTGTTCACCTTCAATCGTTGCAAAACATTATTCTGCATGCGCTTTTTATTTATGTTAGGGACATAGTATTCAGAATCGCTAGACTCTTGCTGTTTCCTCGTTTCGCAAACGCTATTCTCCGCGATGTCTGGAAAAGTATTATTTTAATAAACGAAGAATAAATTATTCGGAATAATATTTTTAATTACTGTTTCCACTATGAGGATTATTTATAGTTTCCTGTTTGCGTTCGGTCTGTTTGGTCAACTGTGTTTCGTTTAAGTTATTACATTCTGAGTTTACACATTGTTGAATAACATTGCTCGCTCCTGTTGGAGATACTTGCACTGGTATTTTTTGATAAGCAAGAACTGGAACTTGCACGTTATAACACTGATTTACATAGTCTTTAGGCACGCTGATCGTGTCAACGTGTATCGCGTTTTGCAGCTTCTTGTCTAGCACGAAAAACAACTGTCCATTATTCTCCTAGATACATTATAAAACCGTAAAGTAACTTACTCCGTGAACCGTAGTTCTAATTAACTATCGATCATTAAATATCAGAACATATACTTGCACTGGTAAAGCAGCAATGTCCACCTGAGTGTTCGCATTGGTGAGCATCGACTTTGATACATTGCTCTTCTCCTTAACTCCGCTATCCGGAATATTATCACATTTGCGCGATTCTGAATTATTTGTTGAACAGTTTGGTTCCAATATCGGTTCTCTATTAACGTTAAACCTGTTTTCTTCTCTGTGATTTTGCGTCGACCCAAGTTTCTCCTCTTCACGACACATCTCTGCCCTCGTTTGCGTCCTACTAAAACAATAATTGTAAAGAGATCCAGCAGCAGGTTTTAATGTAAAAATAACTGTACATCTCTTCTCTGTGTAAATGTTGCGCAGACATTGTACTATTGACACGATTCGATTCTTTCTGGAACGAATCAGTCGATGTGACTTGGTTCCTCTTCACGTTCGTTACTCTATTGAAAATAGATGAAGTTTTCTCTTGTGTTAATACAACGAGTAGACGAATGGAGATAAAATACTTTTTGAAACGAGGATCGACGTAGCCAGGAACTCTTTTCAAAGTTTGCATGCTCGATGTAGTTCTCTGATTGTGATAGGAAGAGTATGCACTGTCCTTAGTTAACGTGGATTTCGGAGATCTGCAGTTTCAAAGAGATGTTCAAACACTTCTCAGTTCTGGGTGTTTCCTTCGGATACTTACTGATTTAGAGGTGTTTGAACTACAGTACGACTTCTTCTAGGAGTCCCAGTTAATGTGACTATACACGGGGGTTCAATGGCATCTCCAACATCGTCGATTAATTTACGTTGTGGTATTTTCGGCCAGGAAGGGTCGGCTGGTATTCTGAAATAGTTTAAACTTCACGCAAAGTACATGGTAGATAAGTTAAATGCGCTTACCGTAATGATCCGGCATTATATTTCTGCGGTGCCGGTAGCAAATTTTCACTGTTTACTAAAATAATTATGGTTGTTCGTTACCATTTTCAATAATCAATGAGGATCGCTCTTACTTTTTATGTGCAACTGAAGGGCGCTAGCGTTATCCTGATATGCCATGTTGAAGCATTCATACATTTCAACACTTTCTACTTTTCCCCAACCATTCCTGGGCTAATTACACAAAATATTAATGTTAAAAGTGATACAAAAACTGTACAGGTTTAACGTTAATTTCATGTTTCACAGAGTAATAGCTCTGTAGTTCAAGCAGAATTATTCTTGTTTTCCTCGACCTCAGATGTTTGTCTCGTTATACACATATATGTAGATAAAAAAAGAATTTTCGTTTGGAACAAATACGTTTATTCTTAATAAGAGTCAATAGTTCATCGTACGTACATACATACAAAAAGATCGAAGGTACTATGATAATCAGTCATCTCGTTTTATTAATGACAAGTATATTTACATATATATATATATATATGTATATATATATAGATATACATATATGTTGTCCTATTTATGTGTACCTTCTTGTGTCTAGTCCGGGGAGGGAAAGAAGGCAGGCTGTGAAAGAGAATACGCTCCCCAGGAGCGCGACGTTACGCACCTGCGTCACCCTCCCGTAAAGAAACGTA